TCATGCACAAGTACAAAATAACACAGTACACTACCATACATGCTACATTTGCTTTCACCGCTTTCTGTTTTTGTTTGGACATATAAATCAGCTGATCGTTTGACACTTTACATGAACTTACAGGAAAAAACTCCAGACTAAATCCTGTAACTTCTGACTAGGAACAGTTGCTCACAGTTACTCTTTCAAAAGTGTTCGCACTTACAGGTTTTATGTCAATAGGAACGACTTCCTGTAAGTTCTGACTAAATCCTGTAAACCGGACTGCTATTGAAACATACTATATTTCTCGATGTTCAACTTAGACAAATATGTTTATGAATTTATATCGATATAATTTTTGATAAGTTTGTCCATATAGTATCGATATCTTAATCCACATTGTTATCGATATACACATGTGAGTAAATATTCTCTGATATAGGCCCTGATATACGCATAGGCATCTTGACGATATTTTTATAGACAATTTCGTGCAATATGTTTAGTGATATAGTATTCACCGCTATTCCTTTGAATATATTTCGATGGCCCCAAGCTCATTTATCTCAACTGGTCGATAGCGGTCAAATTATCCTATCTTGAATGCCATGCGAAAGACTTTCTCAACTCTGTGCGCTTGGTTAATACAAAGTTAAAATAGTTCATCGAGTTAAGATAGTCTTTCGCACGCCATTCAGGATAAAAAAGGTTGAGGGCTATCGACCAGTTAAGATAAAGTATCTCGGGGCCATCGATTTATCGATAATGCTACTAAGCATAACTTCCGCTTTGGGACGCGTATTAATATCCGTATTTCTTTTAAATATTTTATTTTATTATTTTTATTTTTAATCTTTAATACTTTGACATACCTAACAATTGCAGGAATAACCTGGTTACTTGTGGACCATTAAATCACAGTACACTTTAATTTGTTACAATTGATTAATAATTGAAAGTAATAAGGCGTTTGATACATAAGCAGAAACTTTTGCCCGTGGTTCTGGCCCTTAGCGGTATTACCATCGTGTATCAGTGGAGCGACGATTGAATACAACATTTGGAAGACAACGTACTAAGATATATACTTTGAAAGCAGAGGAATAACCTGGCGCTGGTTTTATATAAACCGGCCAACCTACCCAAAACCCAAAAAAAAAAAAAAATATTTTATCTACATATATGTATGTACATATTTCAGTAGAGTATCTAGTAGATAACATCCGATTTTATAAAAAATGCAACTTCAAGCCTGCCTTAAATATCTTTTTTAAAACGTAAGCTTATGCTAGTCTCTCAAACATACTCACCAACACCAAAATGGGCGCAATGAACTTGCAGCCATAACACCAAACCACAAAACCAAATACGCGTGTATCATATTCAGTTTGCTTCTTGCCCGTTGCACGATTCATAATCTTTGGATCGACATCGATGTGCGCTAGAGCGAGAGCTATTAACGGCACCGGTATGCTCATCAAATAGATAACCATGAGTGGCGTCAGCAGCGGCGGCAAGGAAAGGCAAGCACTCAAAATGTTAATCACCGAAAGCGCACCAGCACAGCAAGCCCAGTACTGTATGCAATTCCAGAGTCCTGAAGAGAAGCGACGCGATAGCTCGATAATGGCTACCAGTGACAAAGGTTCATCGCGGCACACCGATATGGAACATGGCAAGGAGTTGAGTAGTCTGCTTAGATAAACAGGCGACACAGTATTGCCCGTGGATTGCATTGGACGCATTTGCGGCTCGTCATTGCCATAGAAGCCGCTCTCGAGCAGCTCTTCGGTGGTGTAAGGCTCATGACTGCCATACTTCTCTTCGCCATTGAGGTCTTTTTTCAAGCGTAACAAGCGCAATTTGTTGTTGGTTAGGTTGCCCTCCGTGTATGCGGGAATATCTTGGCAAACTTGTGGGTACAGCGG